GTTACCGACATCTGGTGAAAATTTCATGTCATTAGCACCTCTAGTAATATATTTACTGAGAAAAATGGTGACGTGTTCAATAATTATTTTACCCGCTGTACATGCGAGATTTATACATAACTTTTCTTTGTTAGCCGCCTCTTTGCTTTCACGTTTCCATCATCCTTTACTCCATTTTGATCCGCCTTGCAGCTCCTCTTCCTCTACATCCCTGTAAGAAGTCTTTCATCCTGTCTGACCTCCCCACTGGACACGGGGACACAAAGCACCTGGCAAACATGTGGGAGAAAAACTTTTTACACCTCGTCTCATAAGCTTCATCCAAACAGCTGATGTCTGCTGCTGCCAAGAGTTTTCATCATGGTGACCTTCAGCCTCGCCGCTCTTCATCAGGACTGAGCCGCAGAGCTGCGGTGTGGAGGGTCCCTGTTGCTAAGAGACCCGGGGGTCTCCAGGTAGCAGCAGCTCCCACGCACGCCTCTGCCAGGCGGCAGCTCGTCGTCCTTGAGGGCTGAGAGCACGAATCACACAGACTGACACCAGCTGCAGTTTTCCTTTTTTTTTTTCATTCCTCTTAGTTTTTATTTACGTTTTTTATTCGAATGGAGTGAAACGTCTACAGAAATGAGAGGCCTCACAGTTGATGAAGTTGAGAGAGAAAAACAAAAACATAACAAAAAAAAACTTATCTGTAAAGAAAACCAAACGCTTTCTGTACATTCTGTGAGATATGTTCTGAGAGACCAGGCCTGAAATCTGCCCTCCACCTACGAAGTAAAGCATCACATGATCAGAACGAACCCACCTGAGTCCCCTTCCCACAAGAAACACATCCAAGACCCAGGAATAAACCCCACCCTAACCCCGCCCCCGCTTTATATGGTTATTTACTGTTTATCATTTAAAGGATTATTCCACTTTATCAAAACGTTTATTTCTTGGTGTTTTAACAGAATCAACAGATCTGATTCGCTGCTTTGAACCTTTTACCGATTTTAATCCTGAAACATTATGGAGCTACAGTATATTATTACAATTTTTATTTCTTTTTTCAGCTTTCTAAGGTTTTTCTAATTTGTTTAGGCACATTTCATCCCAGTAATTATAATATCTGGGTATTTAATATTTGTTTAAATTACCTTTTTTATTATTATCGTTAAAGACTATTGGTTTGAATAGTTTAAGAGTGACAATTTAGACTGGACTTTATTTTTTTAATGCACATTAAATAAAAAAATAAAAATCTACCCTGTCCATTATTTTCAACATTCTCAGATGTTTTATTTTCATTTTCTTTATTCATTGTCTCAAAGTTTTCAAACAAATACTTTGTAGTTTTTTTAAGTTTTAAATATATAAAAATGAAACTAATGAGATTTTTCAAAGACATCACTAAATTACATTTTATTAAATTAAAATATTCTCAATGTCTTTGTCTTTTTAAAGTTATGTCTTTATGGTTCAAATTCAAACTTTTACAATAATTGTTCAAACTCATTTTCATCTAGATTGTTGGACATATTCGTTTAATATTCTGATGTTCAGAGAATTCAACAGGGAATATTATTTTGTTAAATTTGTCAGCAGTGTAAAATATGGACCAAAGAACTGCCATCAGATCCCAAACACACCCAGTTTCTATAAAAAAAAAGAGGTCATATTTATTGTTTGAATTAAAGAGCGCTCACAGATCAGACTTGTTGCAGGATTTCTGTTTCGGCTGATGGAAGACCTGAACCAACGATCAGACCAGACGGTCAAATAAAAGCTGAAGAGTCGGGAGGGAGAATTTCTGAATCCAAACCTGGAGACTCGTTTCTTTAAAACTTCCTTCGGCTTTTTTAAATTTTACATTTCTGTCATCATTAAATCTTTTTCGTAGCCGTCAAACAAACATCCTGGGGATTTTTCCTGGGCGGAAAAGAAAAAAAAAAAAAAAAGAAAGAAAGAAAAACTTGTTGCTTTGAACTCAACAAACCAGGAAGTGGTTCTTTATATTTTGGTTTCTGAGTCTTATTGATACGGAATAACCTTTAAACGCGTCTGCTTAGCGCCCCCTCCCCCCACCAAGCTATTGATAGACTATGTGTTGTAAAAAAGGAAAAAAAAAAGAAAAAGAAACAAACATCACTTTGAAGAGGGAACAGTTAAAATATACATATATAGTATACATGTCAATACTTGCTCCATAGAGCTCAGTCACACTATCATTGGCATAAGAAAAGGATGAGAGTAAGAGTGTGTGTGTGTGTGTGTGTGTGTGTGTGTGTGTGTGTGTGTGTGCGTAAGAGCATGTGTGTGTTTGTGGGCACAAAAACAGCAAATGAACGAGCATCACTTCCTCCCCAAATGTGAACAGAAAAAGAAGCGGACAGAAAGCTGGCACACAGGTGTGGAGGGAGCACCAGCAGCCTGGAGTTCTGCTCACGTTCAGATTCTCTCTGTTCAGTCTGAAACTCGGATATTTACTCGATGATGAAATAAATAAGCGTTCGGACTGAACGGCCTCGTCCTCCAGAGGACGGAGGTGAAGGAAAGGAAGCGGGAGAGGAGGAGGAGGAGGAGAAGAGGAGGAGGAAAGGCAAAAGAAGGGGGGGGGTGGTAGAGGGGGGAGGAACTAGGCCTGAGCGTTGGTGCCGTTGTTGTCCGGGGGTCCGGTGCTGGCCGGCAGGTTGTTGACGGAGGGGGGCGCCTCGTACTGCTTGCTGTCGCGACGCGGGGGCATCCTCTCGTTGATCAGGTCCAGGCCTCGGGCCTCCTCGAAGCTCTGGATCTTGTGCTGCGGGTTGAAGCCTTGAATGGCTGCGAAGAGACGAGAGCTCGTTAGAGAGAGGGGCGGGGTCAGAGGGGGGCGGAGCCAGAGGCAGAGCGATACACAGCAGGGTCAGAAAGTTGGGAGGAGTCTGATGTGGACGGTTTGGCTACAGGTGGTCTCAGTTTCCTCAAGCTCATTAAAAAAAATGAAGGGACAGATACATGATTTATTTTCTTCTTTCTACACCCTTTTTATTCATTCATTTCCGTTGTTTTTAATGGGTTTTTTGTTGTTTTTATGAAC